CTTTTTTTTACTTTTATTTTATTTTATTTTGTTTATTTATTTTTTATTATACTTTAAGTTCTAGGGTACATGTGCACAACATGCAGGTTTGTTACATATGTATACGTGTGCCATGTTGGTGTGCTGCACCCATTAACTCGTCATTTACATTAGGTTTATCTCCTAATTCTATCCGTCTCCCCTCCTCACACCCCACGACAGGCCCCGGTGTGTGATATTTCCCACCCTGTGTCCAAGTGTTCTCACTGTTCAATTCCCACCTATGAGTGAGAATGTGCAGTGTTTGGTTTTCTGTTATTGTGATAGTTTGCTCAGAATGATGGTTTCCAGCTTCATCCATGTCCCTACAAAGGACATGAGCTCATCCTTTTTTATGACTATGTAGTGTTCCATGGTGTATATGTGCTACATTTTCTTAATCCAGTCTATCATTGATGGACATTTGGGTTGGTTCCAAATCTTTGTTATTGTGAATAGTGCTGCAATAAACATATGTGTGCATGTGTCTTTATAGCAGTATGATTTATAATCCTTGGGGTATATACCCAGTTATGGGATGGCTGGGTCAAATGACATTTCTAGTTCTAGATCCTTGAGGAATCGCCAGACTGTCTTCCACAATGGTTGAACTAGTTTACAGTCCCACGAACAGTGTAGAAGCATTCCTATTTCTCCACATTCTCTCCAGCACGTGTTGTTTCCTGACTTTTTAATGATTGCTATTCTAACTGGTGTGAGATGGTAGCTCATTGTGGTTTTGATTTGTATTTCTCTGATGGCCAGTGATGATGAACATTTTTTCATGTGTCTGTTGGCTGCATAAATGTCTTGTTTTGAGAAGTGTCTGTTCATATCCTTCACCCACTTTTTGATGGGGTTGTTTGACTTTTTTCCTGTAAATTTGTTTAAGTTCCTTGTAGATTCTGAATTTTAGCCCTTTGTCAGATGGATAGATTGCAATAATTTTCTTCCATTCTGTAGGTTGCCTGTTCACTCTGATGGTAGTTTCTTTTGCTGTGCAGAAGCTCTTTAGTTTAATTAGATCCCATTTGTCAATTCTGACTTTTGTTACCATTGCTTTGGTGTTTTAGTCATGAAGTCTTTGCCCATGCCTATGTCCTGAATGGTATTGCCTAGGTTTTCTTCTAAGGTTTTGATGGTTTTTAGGTTTTATGTTTAAGTCATTAATCCATCTTGAGTTAATTTTTGTATAAGGTGTAACAAAGGGGTCCAGTTTCAGTTTTCTGCATATGGCTAGCCAGTTTTTAAAGCAGCATTTATTAAATAGGGAATCCCTTCCCACTGCTTTTTTTGTCAGGTTTGTCAAAGATCAGATGATTGTAGATGTGTGACATTATTTCTGAGGCCTCTGTTCTGTTCTGTTGGTCTATATATCTGTTTTGGTACCAGTACCATGCTGTTTTGGTTACTGTAGCCTTGTAGTATAGTTCGAAGTCAGGCAGCATGATGCCTCCAGTTTTGTTTTGTTTAGGTTTGTCTTGGCAATGTGGGCTATTTTTTGGTGCCATATGAACTTTAAGATAGTTTTTTCCAATTCTGTGAAGAAAGTCATTGGTAGCTTGATGGGGATGGCATTGAATCTATCAATTACCTTGGGCAGTATGACCATTTTCACAATATTGATTCTTCCTATCCATGAGCATGGAATGTTCTTCCATTTCTTTGTATCCTCTGCTATTTCGATGAGCAGTGGCTTGTAGTTCTCCTTGAAGAGGTCCTTCACATCCCTTGTAAGTTGAATTCCTAGGTATTTTATTCTCTTTAAAGCAATTGTGAAGAGGAGCTCATTTATGATTTGGCTCTCTGTTTGTCTGTTTTTGGTGTATAGGAATGCTTGTGATTTTTGCACATTGATTTTGTATCCTGAGACTTTGCTGAAGTTGCTTATCAGCTTAAGGAGATTTGGGGCTGAGACAATGGGGTTTTCTAAATATACAATCATGCCATCTGCAAACAGGGACAATTTGACTTCCTCTTTTCCTAATCGAGTACCCTTTATTTCTTTCTCCTGCCTGATTGCCCTGGCTAGAACTTCCAATACTATGTTAAATAGGAGTGGTGAGAGAGGGCATCCCTGCCTTGTGCCACTTTTCAAAGGGAATGCTTCCAGTTTTTGCCCATTCAGTATGATATTGGCTGTGGGTTTTTCATAAAAAGCTCTTATTATTTTGAGATATATTCCATCGATACTTAGTTTATTGAGAGTTTTTAGCATGAAGGGCTGTTGAATTTTGTCAAAGACCTTTTCTGCATCTATTAAGATAATCATTTGGTTTTTGTTTTTGATTCTGTTTATATGATGGATTACGTTTGTTGATTTGCCTATGTTGAACCAGCCTCACATCCCAGGGATGAAGCCAACTTGATCGTTGTGGATAAGCTTTTTGATGTGCTGCTGGATTCAGTTTGCCAGTATTTTATTGAGGATTTTTGCATCAATGTTCATCAGGGATATTTGTTTAAAATTCTCTGCCAGGCTTTGGTATCAGGATGATGCTGGCCTCATAAAATGAGTTAGGGAGGATGCTCTCTTTTTCTATTGATTGGAATAGTTTCAGAAGCAATGGTACCAGCTCCTCTTTGGACTTCTGGTAGAATTTGGCTGTGAATCCGTCTGGCCCTGGATTTTTTTTCTGTTGGTAGGCTATTAATTATTGCCTCAATTTCAGAGCCTGTTACTGGTCTTTTCAGGGTTTCAACTTCTTCCCGGTTTAGTCTTGGGAGGGTGTATGTGTCCAGGAACTTATCGATTTCTTCTAGTTTTTCTAGTTTATTTGTGTAGAGGTGTTTATAGTATTCTCTGATGGTAGTGTGTATTTCTGTGGGATTGGTAGTTATATCCCCTTTATCATTCTTTGTTGTGTCTCTTTGATTCTTCTCTCTTTTCTTCTTTATTAGTCTTGCTAGCAGTCTACCAATTTTGTTGATGTTTTCAAAAAACCAGTTCCTGGATTCATTGATTTTTTGAAGGGTTTGTTGTGTCTCTATCTCCTTCATTTCTGTTCTGATCTTAGTCATTTCTTGCCTTCTGCTAGGTTTTGAATGTGTTTGCTCTTGCTTCTCTTGTTCTTTTAATTGTGATGCTAGTGTGTCGATTGTAGATCTTTCCTGCTTTCTCTTGTGGGCATTTAGTGGTATAAATTTCCCTCTACACACTGCTTTAAATGTGTCCCAGAGATTCTGGTATGTTGTATCTTTGTTCTCATTGGTTTCAAATAATATCTTTATTTCTGCATTCATTTTGTTAGGTACCCAGTAGTCATTCAGGACCAGGTTGTTCAGTTTCCATGTAGTTGAGCGGTTTTGAGTGAATTTCTTAATCCTGAGTTCTAGTTTGATTGCACTGTGGTCTGAGACACAGTTTGTTATAATTTTTGCCTTGTACATTTGCTGAGGAGTGCTTTACTTCCAACTGTGTGGTCAATTTTGGAATAAGTGTGATGTGGTGCTGAGAAGAATGTATATTCTGTTGATTTGGGGTGGGGAATTCTGTAGATGTCTATTAGGTCTGCTTGGTGCAGAGTTGAGTTCAATTCCTGGATATCCTTGTTAACTTTCTGTCTTGTGGTCTGTCTAATGTTGACAGTAGGGTGTTAAAGTCTCCCATTATTATTGTGTGGGAGTCTAAGTCTCTTTGTAGGACTCTAGGGGTGTGCCTTATGAATCTGGGTGCTCCTATATTGGGTGCATATATATTTAGGATAGTTATCTCTTCTTGGTGAATTGATCCCTTTACCATTATGTAATGGTCTTCTTTGTCTCTTTTGATTTTTGTTGGTTTAAAGTCTGTCTTATCAGAGACTAGGAATGCAACCCCTGCTTTTTTTGTTTTCCATTTGCTTAGTAGATCTTCCTCCATCCCTTTATCTTGAGCCTATATGTGTCTCTGCACCTGAGATGGGTCTCCTGAATACAGCACACTGATGGGTCTTGACTCTTTATCCAATTTGCCAGTCTGTGTCTTTTAATTGGAGCATTTAGCCCATTTACATTTAAGGTTAATATTGTTAAGTGTCAATCTGATCCTGTCATTAACATATTAGCTGATTATTTTGCTCATTAGTTGATGCAGTTTCTTCCTAGCATCAATTGTCTTTACATTTGGCATGTTTTTGCAGTGGCTGGTACTGGTTTTTCATTTCCATGTTTAGTGTTTCCTTCAGAAACTCTTGTAAGGCAGGCCTGGTGGTGACAAAATCTCTCACCATTTGTTTGTCTGTAAAGGATTTTATTTGTCCTTTACTTATGAAGCTTACTTTGGCTTGATATGAAATTCTGTGTTGAAAATTATTTTATTTTAGATGTTGAATATTGTCCCCACTCTCTTCTGGCTTTTAAGGTTCCTGATGAGAGATCTGCTGTTAGTCTGATGGGCTTTCCTTTGTGGGTAACGAGACATTTCTCTCTTGCTGCCCTTAGCATTTTTTCCTTCATTTCAACTTTGGTGAATATTATAATTTTGTGTCTTGGAGTTGCTCTTCTCGAGGAGTATCTTTGTGGCATTCTCTGTATTTCCTGAATTTGAATGTTGGCCTGCCTTGCTAGGTTGGGGAAGTTCTCCTGGATAGTATCCTGCAGAGTGTTTTCCAACTTGGTTCCATTCTCCCCGTCACTTTCAGGCACACCAATCAGATGTAGATTTAGTCTTTTCCCATAGTCCCATATTTCTTAGAGGCTTTGCTTGTTTCTTTTTACTCTTTTTCCTCTAAACTTCTTTTCTTGCTTCATTTCATTCATTTGATCTTCAATCACTGATACCCTTTCTTCCACTTGATCAAATTGGCTACTGAAGCTTGTGCATGAGTCACAAAATTGAGATAAGAGGTAGGAGACTTCAAGCACAGTGGCCCAGCACGTGTGTGTTCAGGGCAAGTGAAGGTTCCCCTCCACTGGATTCAATGACTAAAGATTATGAAGATACCAAAAATGCAAGAAGTCATAGGAAATAGCTTTTCTCGATGGCCAAGATGACACAAGTAGAATGGTTAAGAAGGAAGGTTTATTGGCTTCAATTCCCCAGCTGATGTTCAACACTTTATTTAGTTCTCATTTGGATTTTAGACATTTGCTTGAAAAATAATTTTACATCAATTTCAATGTCTTTGGAAAGCCCCCACATGTAATTTATTGATAACATCTCTGAAGAGCAGAATTAATGATATTTCCCAGCTGTTGCTCCAGATCACGTAGAGTAGAGGAGGCTGAAGACTGCCACAATGGAAAACATCTGTATTGTCTCAAAACTTTAGGATGGTACGGATACTGCAGTAGGAAAGAAGAGACATTGTATTAACATTTAGATAACCCACATGCTTCCATGTGAGAGTCCAAGGAGCATTTGAAATGACTAAGTGAAAATCTGTCTGTTCTCAGTCACTCTAATCCCACCCCCATGCATTTGGGTCAAGTCAAGTTAAAGGAAAGTTCATCTTTTTTGGTTTTCTTTTGTGTTTTCCTCAACTTTAAGCTCACTCACAACATTCTGAGTGTGCCTGTTGTTTAGACTGCAATACCACATTAGCATCTTCAAAAAATCATTCTTGTGTGCCCATGTTCCTGGTATAATAAGGAATATAAAATACAACAATGGATAATAACTTGTGATAAGTTTTTGCTATTTGTCGCATTCTTCATGCATTTTCTCACTTAAACTTCAACCTAAACATCAACACTAGGAGGTAGATTTTCATATTATTTTGATTTTAGAGATTATAAACACCGAGACTTAGAAAGATTTGTAACTTTGTCTGGTCGCACATCTAGTATAGAGTTTTGGAATTAAAACTCAAATACAAATTTGCACACGTTATAAGATGATAAATAACTTGCACGAAAGAACTGATAATTTAATAAATTTAAGACCATGCTGGAAGTTTAAAAGACCTTTGATACAGAGATGTTTAAGGATTCTTAGAAGTAGAGAATAAAGTCGATTTGTATTAATTCCAAGATACTTCATTCTTGTGAATATTAGAAATGTAACATTTACATTAGAATTAATGCCCTTTCTACAAACCAGCTTCTCATGAATAAATATTTTTAGAAAATGATGGTCTTTGTGACTCTTTAATAATTTTTAAAATATATGTGTATATGCATATGCGTATATAAGAAAAATATATGCACATAATTCAGAGAATACAAGACGGCAGAAAGAAGAAAGTAAAAGTAATCCATAATGCCCCAACCTAGAAATAGTCATCCTCAATGTTTTCTTGAATTTCTATCAACTTTTTACTAGACATATGTATAAGTTTTACTGCTCTTGTTGAACATTTGAGATATTGTATATAAAATTTATATTCTTTATTATATTAGCCTAAATTATATCATGAGAATCTCCCAATGATGTCATTTCTTTTTGATGGCTTCATTCATTTCTAATAGCTGATTAGAATTTATTAAATCATTTTCCTCATGTTGAAATTTAGAATGTTTCTAATGTTTGATATTACAGAAACAAGTAAACATGCTGAAACACATATGTATGTTTGAATAGTTGATTATTTCTGTAGAATAGATTTCTAGAAATGGAATTGCTGGAACAAAAGATCCAGTTTTTTTTTTAAGGGTTTCTGACACATATTACCAAATTGCTTTCCCAAAAGGATGTATCAATTACTACTGAAAGTACATGAAAGTGCCTAGCTACCTTAGTCTTACCAATATTGAATGTTACAATTTTTAATCTTATTTTATTGATAGGATTAATTATATTTACATATGCGTATTACTATATGACATTCTCATAAAGTGAATTTAGGCATGCTTCATGACTTCTAATGTTGCTCAACGCTGTCCTCTGGTTTTGTTCATCTCTATATTTGCCATCATCTTTTCAATCCTATGATGATGATGATGATCATGATGATGATGTCAATGATAATAATGATGATATCAATGATAACTAACCTTTGATGGCTACTGTTGTCCATATATCCATGCACTCTTGAGGGGCAGTATGGTTTAATAGAAGTGAATAGATTTGCTAACAACAAGATCTACCTTTGAATTCTGGCTCTCCTTCCTATCATCTGATGATTTTGACCAAGTCATGCCTTCTCCGAGTCTCAGTTTTCTCTTCTCTAACATAGTGAGATTGAGACTGACACTGAGCATTGCCTGGGGGTCACATAAGATAGTGCAGGTAAGACACTTAGTAGAACAGCTGGTGCTCTGTGGGTGCTAGTTTCTTTTCCTCCTCAAGAATGTTGTCAGTGAAAGTGTCTACCATAATAATTTTGTGAGTGCCAAAGAAACACTATTTAAAGTTGAAAATCTTGTGAAAATAAGAATGGGATAGCAGAAAAATCTCAGACTCTGGAGCTAGAAGGCAGAGGTTAGGTATAACTGCCTGTTTCCAGTTGTGTCTCATGTAAATGCAGGTGACAAAATTCATTTTATTAGATGGTTGTAAGAGTTAAATGTTAGAGACAGGAAATAGAATTGGCTTAGTTTTCTAAGCTTCAGACAAAAAGTAAGCCAAACATTTACAATAGTGTTTAGTATACTTCTCTTTTACAATAAATTTTACTGAAAAAAATTTTTTTTGTAAACCATAAAAGTGAAAAAAGGAAAAAGAAAAAACTAGTAAGAGCTACTTAGAAAACAAACCAAATGTAGTTTCACATGCTCCAATAATGAAAATGTTGAGGATGTCCTGAAAATTATTTAAATATACAGCCACCTAATGTCAGCTTTATATAGGTGGCAGTTAGAGGCTTCAGTGACACCACATTATAATTATGGTTGTTTAAATAGAGTTTGTTTTTTGTTGTTGTTGTTTTTTTTTTTTGGCAAAGGTGATTATTCTCTTTTAAAGAAGGCTTAGTGGCTCTGATCATTCAGATTTGCAGTAATCAACATTATTTGGCTTCAGCAGAATAGGAAATGCAAAGCAGCTGTTTTTAGCATCTCACAGAAGTTTTAAACTTTTCTTACATGCTCTCCATGTAAAGACTGAACTGGTAATGGAAAAATGAAGGCACTCTAATTTTTCTCATCCTTCCACCTTTTCATTTTCTGCTAGACAATCCCCTATGGTAGATAAAAAGCAAAACAGAAAACTAACTTAAAATCTACCTTTTCCCAGAGTGAAGCAGGTCAAATCCTTCATTTATTTTTTCAAAAGGTAAAACATGGGTTATTAATGCATCCAATGAAAACTTCTTAGCCATAAAATCAGCCACAAGTTTTGGGACACATTCTTTACTCTTATAGCCTGAAAAGAAGATGGTATCATAGTTAGATTCAATGAATTTAAGTAGGAGAATTAAAGAGAAAATTTCCCAAATAAATGAAAGTTTAGAAAAGGTGCTGCTTCCAGACTGCAATGACTGAGGTTAATAAGAGATACAAAACGTCAGCAAGCTTTTATAGAGCTCAGACTTAAAAAAAAAAAAATCACAGATAAACAAGAGTCCCTGGTTATTCTCTCTCCCACAGAGAAATCATGGTACTGATGTTATGCCCAAAGGAACAGATTTAACAGTTGTCTAAATTTGGGTGTAGATATGAAATATCGTTGTAGATTTCTGTGTCTTACTAGAAATTCCCATGCCTTACACAGTCCCAAGTACAAAAACAGATGGAGATGAATGGTCTTTGCTAATGGTGACATCAGAAATGTCTATTTTGGGACCTTCTGCTTGCATTAGTTTCGTATCTAGTTGATTTGGAGACTATAGACAGAAAATGAATTTTAATTTATTTTTGATCTACTCTTCAAAACCTTTCCTTATCACTTGTAAAAGGGGAGATATGCTGAGGTTAATGAGAATTTGGCTCCAAGCCTAACCACATACCACCAAAAATAGCTCCCTTCCAGGTGCGTCCAGTCAGTAGCAGCATAGGGTTTATTGAGAGGTTCTGGGAATCAGGAGGTACCCCTACGATGACGCTTGTGCCACATGCCTCATGACAACATAACAGGGAAGCCATCTGGAATAAAGTGAATATTTAGCATCCTTAACGTGGAGTGGCATAGTTCCTACTCATAATGCACAATGTCATGTAATAGGCTTAGCTGGATTGTGACTGTGTAGAGGGAAGAGATCATGTCTTTTGCTCCTTCATTCCCCTTTTTTGCATAGGATAGTGCTGTGGATTTAGGAAATGCCCAGAAATTTTTTTTTTTAATGAAAGAATGGATGAATAAATTGGAGTGCACTTAATTCTTCCTAATAAAGGAATAAAGAGATAGACATCATCACAAATATATATTAAGTCCAGTTCCTTATATAAGCATAGAATTTCATCATCACATAATTCTTAGGCAATCTGTGAGTTGGTTAATTCACTTTTCTTTGATTTATTATATAGGTATTTTGAACCCATTACTTTCAACCACATATTTTAATGGGAAACAAAATAAATGATTATATCACCAAAATTTGTCTCTTGTCCACTTGATGGTCTCATTTTTTAACATACTCCAATTCTACTGTCCATTTCTCAAAATGGACATGTTTTAAACATTGTTTTTATCTCCCCAAATATATATAGGTTTTACATTAAAATACACTGATTATTAGGGAACCTCAAAGGACAGTTCGGAAAGTATTTTCCAATCAGCTTTCTGAACATGTTCTGTAGTTAGAAAATGGTTTAGGATTGCCCCAAGGTATATAATGATTAGTTCTTTGATTTTGGATTCTGGCCTTTGGAAGACCAGACATCCTCAGAACATGTGGCTGTGAGATATTTGGTATCTTGAGATAAGGTACACTCCAGTTCCACATGAGAAAATGGAGGAAGGTGTAGAAAAAGAACATTAGGAGAAAAGCTATAACCTTGGAAAAAGTTGTAATCTCTTGTCACTTCATTCATCTGTGGCATTTGTTCGAGGTCAAGGCTGCTGAGAACATTGATTTCAGGGTGCTGCTCCGTATTACCCACACTACTGGACCCTCTAGAAAATCTCAGCAATGGAAATGTGTTGGACTCTGGAGACATTTTCAGTAGGATTCTAGAGAACTCTGGGTAGGTGAAATATAGCTAGAGATGTGTTTTCCATTGCCTTTGATATTTGTAACTGTTTGAAAGTAATACCATGTAATAAGCCAAAGATGGTGTAAGTACTGCAAGATTGGAAATAGTATTTCATATCAATAATGCCAACTGAGGCTGGGCATGGTAGCTTGTTCCTATATTCTCAGCATTTTTGGAGGGTAAGGTAGGAGAATTGCTTGAGCTCAGGAGGTTGAGGCTGTAGTGAGTTATAATTATGCCACCGCACTTCAGCCTAAGCGACAGAGTGAGACCCTGTCTCAAAGAAAAAGAGAAAAGGACAGCTGACATTTATTGGGAGCTTACCATATGACACGTGGCACTGTGCTAAGTACATTACATGCATTGTCTCATATAATCTATAAACAATGCCATGAGTATGTAGCTTTGAAATTTGGGGGGTGGTAAACATCTGTTGACTTTTGAAAGTATTCAGTCCTACTAGTATTGGGTACTAGTTTTGTACCAGGTACTGTCCAGTTTCTGTGATAAAATATAGTGATGCATTTGAGCAGTCACTTTCCTTAGGGCATATTTTTGTTAATAAAACAATAGTTGGCCTAAAATTGCTCATTTCTTTTGGCCAAATACTAATATGTAAAAAAAAAAATTGGAATTTATTAAGAACACATGCAAAATTATTAAATCATTTTTGTTAAGAATGTGGAAGAAAAATAAAACATTCCAATTTGAGAACAGAATTTGTATTATTTATGTTTACTTGAACTTGTAATTTTTAATTAAAAATTAACAAAGTTATCTGTAATCGCTCAGTTAAGAAAAACAAGCCCTTTGCTTTTCCTCTAGAGGAAATATGACTTGAGACAGGTTTGCATAGTTGATAGAATAAAAGATTTCTCATAACAATAAATTAAACAAGCCAGGTAAACAGATGATGGGAAATTTCCATTCATCATTAAAAATATCCTTTATACATAAAACATATATTCTGCAGCCTAAATGCATCCTCCAGGTTGCAGAGGCAGAAATCTCAGGGCATGTCATGGTACATACCATGGTGTCAAGCCGACCGATGACTTCAAATGAAAAATCCACACCTCCGTCAGTCATTTCCTTTAGCACCTCCTGGATGGGTTTCTTGTAGTCTTGAGGGTTGATGCATTCAGTGGCACCCAACTCTTTGGCCTTTGCAAATTTGTCCTTGTTGATGTCCACCGCAATGATTCTGGCTGCTCCAGCTGCTTTACAGCCCATAACAGTAGATAGGCCGACCCCTCCCAGGCCAAACACAGCACAGACAGAGCCTGGGGTTACCTGTATTTTCAGAAAATGCAAGAATGGATTAAGCAACGGTTGTTTGAAAGTGCCTAAGCTTTATAAGGTGCCATGGCTAGTGTTTATCAAGAGCTGCTCAAACTCTTCTGTTCAATCTGTTAACAAAAACTCTTTTGGTTTCAATTGCTCTATTTTTAAATTCAGGGAGTTGAAATAGTTGAGCGGTTCTCAAACTGATGCATATTAGATTCATCTGGGCAGGTTTAAAAATATTCCACTGTCCAGGTCACAGCCCATGTGAATTAAATGAGAATCTCTGCAGGTGGAACTCAGTCTCCAGGTGACTCCAATGGGAAAGTCAGGCTGGGAACAAGGGGACTGAATGATCTTTGAGATCCAGATGGCAATGATTACAGTCTTGAAGGGACTCTCGATTGCTGAAATCCCTTGATAGCCAGCTTCAGTATCTCATACATACACAAATGTAATATTTGAAAAATAAAGTAAATGGAAAAGGCTACTCCAAGAGACTGAAAAATATTCCACTTAAACAATCAGTAATTAACCCCTTGGTTCATTTATGTTCGGTAGTTGTGAGTAGTATATTCCTGCTTTAAAAATACACTAGTGAATAACACAGCAATGAAATATTAGTCTATGTTTTAATAATAAAATCTATTGTTATGAGTATCCTCAGCTTCTGTTCTTGGGTAGGCTCACTTAGATCACCTGTTACAATAGATGAGGCAATTGAACAAGGGACTAAGGGCTAAAGTCACAGAAATTTGGAAAAGATGCCATCTAATTTTTCTTAGTTGGCTAGGGGCTATTTATTAAACCTAGTCTCCCATAGTCTGCCTTCATTTTGGGTAACATCCTCTTCCTGTTCCAAATAATCTCACTCTTATATTCCCTTAAGAGGGTCCATTCATTCAATCATTCATTCTCCAAGTAGTATTCAATACTATGGGGGACAACACCAGTTTCTATCTTACTTACAAAAATACAAGGCTTGTGACTGTGATTTAAAAGTACTTATAATTATGTATCGTGATCTAAGATTCAGCAGCAGATTTGAGAAAGATGAAGCAAACGCTTCATTTTATTTATTTTTGCTATCTCAGAACTTAGCAGAACCTATGGTGCCTGAGGCATGTGTAGGTGCTTTCCAATTGTTGAATGAATTACTAAATGAGTTCTCAGGCCTAATATTTCATGATCTCATGAAGAGCAGATACAGAAGAGTAATTATTGAAAATGAAATCTTTACATTTTCTTAACTCTCAACAACTTTTTAATCTGATAAACACATGAAATTTCTAGCATGTGCTCTCAATTCTTTCTGGATTGTGTTTCTATTCTTAGCCAACATTCAAAATCTACAGAAATAATCTTTGATTCTTGTGAGAAATTGCTTCCCTTTGGGTTCCTGACAGTCTGCATGTAACTGTTTTTATCACCCGTTGTCATTCTTACCTTGGCAACTTTGACTGCAGACCCATAACCAGTTGAAAATCCACAGCCAATGAGACAGACTTTCTCCATGGGTGAGGCTGCATCAATTTTGGCTACTGCATTCTCATCCACCACCGTGTACTGGGAGAAGCTGCTGACACCGAGGAAGTGGTGGATGGGCTTCCCCCTGCAGGTGAATCTGCTGGTGCCATCCTGCAGGGTCCCCCGAGGATTGCTCACACTGGGCAGTGCAATACACAGACACACAAAGGCATGAGACAGGAGCATAAGTAATGTGCAAACTCAATGTCTGTGCAGGGAGAGCATCAGAAACCTACTCGTTTTTCAAGCAGTAGTTCCTTTCCGGGGTTTTACAAATTCTGCATTTTCCACACTGAGGAACAACGAGTGGGATGACTTTATCACCTGGAGAGGGATAAAACAAATTCTTTTACAATTTCTATCCAGTATTAATAGAGCATAAACTTAAAGCTCACATGTCTTTGAAACATTAGAAGCATATGTCTTTAAAAGTCTCCAAGAAATACAGTCCAATCACAACTATGTCATTTGTCGTTTCCTGCCACAGCCTTGTTTCCAGTTTGGGTTTATAAGTGCCTGAAGATTCTTACAGATGAAATGCAAATATGGGAAACAACATGGATTAGAAAAATTGCTTCCACTGTATTAATAGTTACTTTTATGTAGTGTATCAATTTCTCCTGGAGGCTTTACAAACATTTAATTTAATCCTTAACTATTTAAATCTTAATGTAAGCAGAAATATAAATTTTAGTTGAAAGTAGGGTATAATAGTGCCAGTAGATGTTGGTAAGACCTGTTTTTTGTTACAGTTTGATTTACAATAAAAATGAGAATTTTGAACTACTTCTTTTCTTTTCAAAGTGACTAGGTTTATCTTTATTATGAAATGAATGCTTTTAAAAAATGATCTTAGTTCTTTTTTTGAGGAAAACTATCAAAAATGGGACAAAGAACAATTCCAGAAATTCCTCTGGAAATTTCAACCCTCCACAGTAAGTTAGGGACTTTTAGGATAAGAACTGACTTTGAAATATTTTTAGCTGGTAATTTGTGAATTATCTACTTTTCCTGTTATAGTGGAGTAAGCACAGGTAAAAAGTAAGGGTGTCATTTTGTTATTAACTTATTACTAACTAGTTAGTGATTATTAGTATTATTTAGTAGTTATTAGTAGTAGTTTAGCAGTTATTAGTTATTATTTAGTAATTATTAATTTATTACTACTAAAGAAATTAGTAGGAGCTGAAACCCAAATTGGACAGTTCATTTTATTTTTCTGTTCACAGTTCAAATAAGTATTTGGTGAAGTGGCAGGTCCAATCTAGTGCCTAAAATGATTTTCTAGACTGTAATCCCAGCGTTTTGGGAGGCCGAGGTGGGCAGATCATGAGGTCAGGAGATTGAGACCATCCTGACTAATATGGTGAAACCCCGTCTCTACTAAAGATACAAAAAATTAGCTGGGCGTGGTGGTGGGCGCCTGCGGTCCCAGCTACTCGGTAGGCTGAGGCAGGAGAATGGCGTGAACCCGGGAGGTGGAAGTTACAGTGAGCTGAGATTGCGCCACTGTACTCCAGCCTGGGCGACAGAGTGAGACTCCATCTCAAAAAATAAATAAATAAAATAAATAAAAATAAAAATAAAATAAAATAAAATAAAATGAAATGAAAGTGATTTTTTAGAATTAAACATAATTTTTATTTTTAATTACCTATGCTACCTATTCCACAAGTCCAAGAAAAATGGTTGCCCCATAACATTTTGTAGGTAAAATTTATGTGAAAATGATGGTATGGAAATGTCGTAGTTATTCTCCCTTTATAATTAGTAATCTGTAACCAGTCACATTTAAGCATGGCTGAAGGTAGTAAGGCAGACATTGTTGATGGTGGCTGGCTCCTTCTATGTTTCTTTCATTTCCTTTCACCTAGTCAGTTTCATTGATTCCATGCTCAGGAAGAGAGACCATGTTGGAAGAGGAAATTGGTGATGTGGCTGCATAGGTCACCTAAGAAAAGGTCATGTTTATTCAGTTGTAGCTGTGTAGCCTCCACTTGTGAACTCAGCACAGAACAGTTTCCATACTTATGTTTTTATCCCTCCTCCCATTTCTAGTTGTCTGGGCCCTGATAGAAGAAGACCGTGTTCAGCAACACTAACATGAAGTTATTAGATTACAAATGCCACACTGGTAGGCACTGTGTCCCTTTTGATCCACACATATCTCCAGGCTCCAACCTGGTGCCTGGCATCTAGCAGATGCTTAGTACATAATGGTTGAAGGGTAGAATACATGTGTGCCTGAAGACATACATGCTTGAGTCAGGCAGGCAGAGAGGGAAAGAGGAAACCCCTGAAGTCCTGGCTGCGCGGTGACCTTCTGCAAGCGCTTTCGTCCCTCATTGCCTGTTTCCTCATCCAGGCGGGAAAATCTTAGGATCGTGAACGAGCATGTTTCCTGAATGTGAATCCTGTACCTGGTTCGACTGTAGTCACCCCTTCTCCAACACTCTCCACGATGCCGGCTGCCTCATGGCCTAAAATCACAGGAAGTGGGGTCACCATGTTACCACTAACCACGTGGTCATCAGTGCTACAGATTCCTACAGCCGCCATCTACAGAGTGAAGAGAAGATGCTTAGATTCCCAAAAGATGATGAGTCTCAGGTGAATTTAAAAATCCCAGTTTCCTGAAATTGTGCTTCCAAAATGTTTTCAAGGGTTTTGCTAATAATCCCTACTATTCCCAAATATGAAAGATTCAGTTTATCCTCAAGGTTAACCAGGCTGAAACCCTCCTCTACCTTCCATTCTTGAAGTAAACAATTTAGAATAATCTGTGAAGTAACTGATCTTGAAATAGTGAAGTCTTAAATAATATACAAGAATGCATGCTTTTAAAAAAACAGTAGTAGAAATTGCAAATTAATACATAAAAATATCTAATGCTAATTGATTCTGAAGTCTTGATATATATCCCTTTGAATTTTTTTTCTGTACAAACATATAAATTCTTTTGTATTTTATTGGAATTACACTGTATGCACTTTTTAAAAATTTAATAATTTATATTTATAACTTTCTTTGACAACAAGTATATTCTATTTTCTGGATGATTATATAAAAATGACTCAGGATTTTTGGTTGTTTCCGTTTTTTAACTTTTCTGCATTTTTAAAACTTAAATACAAATGGAAAAATGTATTTCACCTTAATACGAACTTCATGGGCCTTGGGAGGTGCAACCTCCACCTCCTCAATGGAAAAGGGTTTCTTTAACTCCCATAGCACAGCTGCTTTGCATTTGATTACCTAGAAAAGCAAACAGAGAGTTGATACCAGTGTGTTCCCACACTTGCAGTCAGACATTGTGTCATTTAATCTTTGTACATGCAACATCTAGTCCCATGTCTGGTACCTAACAAGTGCTCCATAGAAATGATCACCTCTGATTTATAAAGAGAAAAAAATATATTTTAAAAAAGGAATAACATAAAGAAAGATAAACAGTTAACTATAATAACACACTGAGATAAAATGGAATATATTCATTAAGGCCATCCTTATGTTGTTGTTGTTGTTGTTTTCTCCAAAGTTGTTTAATCCTGACATTTCCTAATGCTGTGCTGAAAACATCTCTTCACCCACAATTATTGGCTGGTACATGAAATTCTAAGTCACCTTCATTTTGCTAACAGAGTCAGTGTCTGTTCAAATAAAATACACTGCTTTCTTGCTCAATTTTCTGCTTAGGCCAAAAGGATCTGACTTTATAAGGACACATTTATCTTCCTGCGTGGGATGGCATCTCTTTCTCTCTCTCTTTTCCTATTCTCCTCTTTTAATTTTCTCTCTCCACCACTTCTGTGTGTTACTTGTTTCCAACACCCATTTGCAACTTAGCTTTGAGAGCCTGTACTGTTATCTGATCTATGTGTAGAGACTCCTTCCAGCTTTGACTTGAGCCCCAAATTACGAAGGTTGGAGTTGGTTTTGTGTGTGTGTGTGTGTATACACTCAGACCTACACATACATATTTCAAAATTGGAGACACTGTGTGTTTGAATTTCTAGCTAGCAGATCTTATCCATAGATGTTCTTAAAAATAAAAGATGAACACATAATTTCCAGTGCTTGGTAGTGTACTGTAATATCCATCGTCATTGTGGTTAAGCATGTACAATTCACAGAACTCTTTCCAGAATCAACAAAATTGCAATTATGATAAAAATTCAATTGAAATGTATTCTTCTGACAATTCATTGCCATGATTTATTTGTCAAATTATTCAACTTTGCAGAATGTTCAACATGATCAATGCAAAATAAATGTCAGAATACTTGGAAGTAAGGTACTAATAGTAGGAGTTCCTGATTATCAGGTGCCTATGATGCGACAGGCACATTGTGGCCTGTGCTGGGTAAGTTATATGCATTATATTTATTTATAAAATTTATCTTTAATTTCAATAGTTTTGGGGGTGCAGGTGTTTTCTGGTTACCTGGGTAAGCTCTTTAGTGGTGGTTTCTCAGATTTCAGTGCACCCTTCACTCAAGCAGTGTACACTGAACCCAATATATAGTCTTTTATCTTTCACCTCCCCTTTCAATCTTCCCCCTCGAGTTCCCAAAGTTCATGATATCATTTTTATGCCTTTGTATCCTCATAGCTTAACTCCCTCTTATACATGAGAACATATGATGTCTGGTTTTCCATTTCTGAATTACTTAGAATAATGGTCTTCAGCTCCATCCAAGTTGCTGCAAAGGCCATTATTTTATTTTATTCTATTTAATGTCTGAGTAGTATTCCATGGTATACACACACCATATTTTCTTTATCTACTCTTTTGTTGATGGACATTTAGTTTGGTTCTGTATTTTTGTAATTGCAAATTGTGTTGCTATAAACAACATGCATTATTTTTAAATCTTGTAAGGATGCTACCAGGACAGTGCTATTGAATTATTGGCTTTATATTACAGCTGAAATAATTGAGGATCCATTGACTCAGTGATTAAATAATTTCTCTAAAGTCTCAAAGCTGGCTTTCCAGAGAATAAAGATGAATCTAACCTTATGTTTTCACTACTTGGTGGCAGTAAAAAGTTAGCAAAAAGTTAAATAGCAACAATAATAATAGTGGCTAATATTTACTGACTTATTTCTATATACCAAATGCTATTTTAAGTTCTTTATAGTATTAATTTATTGAATTATCACAACACAACTACTTTACAAAATAGATGTTAGTATTG